AAGGGTTTCTCCACCAAATACTAAGTTATGTTTTGCTTGGGAATCAAATAGTTATTTTACTCACTGAACTGCAACTCAAATTTATAACATTTGTTTTTCTGGATTTTTGGTTGATAATCTGTCTCTATCATTTAAAACACACCTATGATAAAAATTATAGACCTTTCATTTCTTTGTAAGGGGGCAAACTTACAAAATCTGCAGGGGATCAAATAATTATTTTGTACACGATGACTCTCAGGGGTTTAAGTAATTGTCAGGACTAAAAAGTGGGTTATAACATGTGTGCAAAACAAAAAAAAAACCTTGGCAGCAAAAGGTTTAAAAGTTCACTGTGGAGATGGTGGGCTGCTCGCGTACCTGGAGAGTGCTGGTTTCTTGTAAACAAAAAATGGACCGAATGAAAGGTAGCAAGTGAAGCACTCTTTGGAAAAGGTAGCGAGTGGTCTGTTTGCTACCTTTCATTAAAGTCATTAGTAAATTAGTTGATTGTTTAGTTGATCATAGCAGGGCTGGCAAGGTAGCCAATGTGCCTCAAAATTACAGCTGGTGCTTGACCTTTATAATTTTTTTTAGAGGTTTTTAATAAAGCTGGCTCCAGGATTGGACAGACTGGCTCCTGAATACCACATTAATTTGTCCATTTGCGGGACATGACAATACACTGAATGAGGAGCCAAACTTTCATGGCCTGTTCACACAAGCCTGTCCAGTAAAATGCTGAATTTCATAGGAGGGTCTAGCGTGTTTTGAAATTAGAGTGCGTTGTATCGCACACTGCCAAAACTCTCACTTTTTACCTTTGTAACTTCATGTAAAGTGTACAATGTGTAATCTCCATTCAGGTCCCCACACGGCAGCAACCTACAGGCTCTCCAGTATAAAGTGACTGTTTTGTAGTTAAGTTGTGCTCATATCAAAAAAATAATAGTCTACAAATGTGATTGCTTACTAAATGAGGATATATGTATTTACATTAGTATGACCATTTAAATATTATTAACAAAGATTTTGACAATTGCCTCATGTGTAAAAGTCTACTTTCTTATATAAAAAAAGTATGAGGCCAACACATTTGGGAGCATCAAATACACGTTTCAAATCAGGGCTAAAAAGAAAGTTGACTGTATGGTTTATCATCAGTGTGAAAGATCAATTTATTAAATTTATACAATTTCATATCAGAGTCTCCGTAGCACTGGTGAAGGGGGTATGTTCAAACCTTACAAAACACATTGGCTTCAGACTCAATTATACAGTAGTCTTTAAGACTTGAAATGCTTATTCAAATTGCTTGACACTAAAATTTCCTATACACCTATCAATTTTCGTTTGGAAACTGTCCACAAATGGTCTTTTGAGCAGTAATCGATTAGTTGATGGGACACCAAGATTTTAATTACTGTACTTCTGGCCAAATGTCCTCAGTCAGGCTGTTTTGTTTTTTTCGAATTGTAAAAAAAAAAAAAAAAAAATATGTTGGTTTAGTGGCGTTTTCATACACACAAAAAAATAAATCGCAGCAAGAAAACTGCACATGCGCAAACAAAAATCCATTCTATCGATCAACAAAATTCAGTGAGTTAGTATTGATAATGAACGACTATTAAAATCGACATTGTTACCGGGGAGTTGAGACGACCATGGGCCGCCAGGAAGCAGGAATTGTACTACACTCTGCTTTCCCCTTCTCTTGAGTTTTGTCCTTTCGTTTTGCGTCAGTGTTTGTCTTTGTCAGTCTTTTTTGCGTGGTTCAGGGGTGATCGTGGTGGACTTGGCCGCCCATATTGTGGGGCTAGGCCTGACCACTCACCTCGACTGTAGTGTTGGTTTTACGTTAATTCACCTAAAAAATGCCTTAAGGGCGGGGACAAACATTGGTACCGGACGTGATATTACAATGTGTTACCATGCTTAGATTAGGAGTCTCACTGTCTGTTCTTATATTCTGCGGGGCCATGTGGCCTTCGCGTGTACTTCTTTGCAATGTAACCCACCCTTTTTGCCTACAAATAAAGAATAAAAAAAAAATAAAAAATAAATCGACATTGTTCTGTGCTTGATGGGCTATTTGAGCTAGAATCCAAAGAGGGTTCTTGGCAGCAATGAAAATGTCTGATTGAAAAACTATAGGTGTATATTGGCCTCTGCTGGCCATATAGGTCTGGCAAACAGAAACTCTGTTTACACTGACCCATATTTACAAATACATTGCTTTATAATTGTTTGGTATTTACTCATTAAAGTTCCACTAAACTTGCTGTCTGGAGCAATTTCTTACTATTTGCACACACGAAAATCTGAATTTTTGGCTAGAAAACAGCTTCAAACCCCCCCATACAATTATATATTTTCTGAAATCAGAGGCCCTGTAAAATAAAAAAAATGCTAGTTGCAATTTTTTGTCACACGGTATTTGCGCAAAAGTTAATCAAACCAGTATTTTTAGGATAAAGTACACATGTAATGGGAAACATGTGACCGGTCCTCTTTATGGAGACATCAGCGGTCTGTCAGACCCCTAATGTCACCAAGGGACGCCAAAGTAGCTGATGAGGCACCGATCTGCCTCACCAGCTTCTTCTCCTGGCTACATCAACCTCTCCAAAATACGCCCCTTCCTCACCAATGAAACCACTAAATTACTCATCCACTCCCTTGTTATCTCTCGTCTTAACTATTGCAACTCCCTCCTCATTGGCTTACCTCTACACAGGGTATCCCCCTTCAGTCTATCATGAATGCAGCTGCTAGACTCATTCACCTAACCAACCGCTCAGTGTCTGCAACCCCCCTCTGCCAATCCCTGCACTGGCTTCCAATTGCCCAAAGGATAAGATTCAAAATATTAACCATGACTTACAAAGCCATCCACAACTCTGTCCCCGACTCTATCTCAAAACAACACCCTAACCGTCGCCTCCGCTCTTCAAAAGACCTTCTGCTTTCCAGCTCCCTCGTCAACTCCTCCCATGCTCCCCTCCAGGACTTCACCAGAGTGTCTCCCATCCTATGGAACTCTTTACCCCAACATGTCCGTCTATCTCCCACTCCGACTGCCTTTAGGAGATCCCTTAAGACTCATCTCTTCAGGGAAGCCTAACCGCTCAACCATCACGTTCTCACACAATTCATCCCCACAAAGCTACCTCCTCATGTATCGCTTCCCCCTCCCTTTTAGATTGTAAGCCCCCTCCCTTTTAGATTGTAATGTCTTCCTTATATTGTGAAGCGCTGCGCAAACTGTTGGCGATATATAAATCCTGTATAATAATACAGGAGCCGGAGAAAGTGCAGCGACACCGGACGTGATGTAATACACATCACTTCCGGGGCCAGTGATCAGCGGCTAGAAGCTTGCTGATTTCCCTACGATCGATGACGGGAGACCCGTCATGGTGGGGTGAGTACACTCCGCCACAAGCGATCTGTCGGCTGTATAGCGGCCGGATCGCTTGTATGTGAACAGCCATAGCCGGCTGTTTACAACGGTACAAGAACACAGCTGAAGCAGCAGCTGCTGTGTTCTTGGTAAAACAGCTGCAGGAGCCGGATGCTCATTTACGCCTGCGCGGCTCATATGGTTAACAATTAGCAAAACTTTAGTTTTGGTCCCTGTGTGTTGTATAATAGGCACTACTCCAAGCTTGCTACCGTGACAGACTACAATCCCAATACAAAATAGTAAATAAAACATGAGGTTGTAGTCCACCACAGGAGCGAGCTTGACACAATGGCTACTTTACAACACACACACAGGGACCATGGAACAAAAGTAAAAATTCTCCAGAAGGACAGCGTCAGCACATATTCAGAGATGATTTAAGGATCTACAACTGAGTGATACACAAATAAAAAACATTTCAGTTAACAGTTAAGGTTCTTGAATGCATGTTTAAGATAAAACTTCAGAGTTTAGTGTCACATTAATGCCCCATTTACACCAGAGCTCAAAGCTACAAAATACTCAACATTAAAAATCGTATTGTCTTCTATGTTGCCCGTTAACAACTGAGCACTCAAGCTTTTGTAGCAAAACACCCATCCCTCCAAGGAGTGCAGAACCAAATGTTTTTGGCCCCATATTCTTTGAAGGGAGTACTGAATAACATGTGAAAATGCATGTTTTCCAGGTACTCCCATTTAAAAGTCTATGGGGCCAAAAATGCTTGATTCTGCTTTTGTACTACAAGTAGCAAATAAAAATGCAAAAGAAAAGCACACAAAAAAAGTCTGTAAATTGGCTAGATACGTTCATGGTTTGGTGTGAATACAGCCTAAAGCTGCAGCTGTAAGATGCTATAAAACGTTAAAAAAAATTATATATAAAAACTATATTTCACAGCCATTGTGAGATTTCAGGTAAGATGGTCTTGCAGCTCCATAACACAAACACATGCCTGCTTAAATCTCCTATAAAAACATGCACACCACGTCTATAATTTTCATGTGGTGCACACACGCTCTTTAAAAACACGCGATTCTTTATTAATTACCAGCTCCAGACCCCTACAACCTCCCTATTTTAGCCTTTTCCTTATCTTCCCATCGTTCGCTCCATTTTGTTTTGCTCCATACCTCGTACTGGTGCTCTCCTTCTGCGATAGCCATTCAGCTATGTAGCCCCACCCCCGACAGTCACGGGTTGTACGGGTCATAACTGAAGGGGCTGGCCTGAGTTTCTTGCCTATCATTAGGCGGAACTATACTACAGCAAATAACAACTAGAGCTACTACAATAAAAACCATGGCGCAGAGCTGCTTTCAGTTTGCGGCGCTGCCGTTACGTTCACCCTAAGGGAAAAAACATAATTTACTGCACAAAAAGTAGTCCTCTGTACCTAATTTCCCTCGCTTCGGCTGTTCTCTAGAGGTCGCACAATACACTAAACTAGCTGAGACCGCCCAAGATACAATTCTATAATTTACATGGACGCACAGGCGCTGCTGACGCTTGTTTGGACGTCATTACCAGTGGCCGCTCGAGTCATATTTGTATCACACGAGGATTTCACTCCATTCTGAGTTGCTTGGCGGGAGTAGTGACTTTATTCAGCGTTGACCAACATGTTCCCATCTCCCCGATCACAAGTCGGAGTGACAGCTCGGCGGCCGATTACTAATCGGGTACCTGCTGGAAGGAAGAGTCTCGGACCTGGAGCCGTCGGGATCTCTTTACCTTCTCCGGTGTTCTCACCTGCTGGCAGTAGAGTCACGATTGGTGGTTCCTGGTGAGTCGGTGCACCCGGACTTGTGCTACTTGCATTCTTTGTACTTTATAGTAATTTATAACTAGGTCTCTCTAGATTCTTCTTACACATGAGCCGCACTTCAATGCATCTTTGTAAATTTAAAGTAACGTTTTTTTCATATAACAAATACATGCTGTGAAACGAAACTGCTATGTATATCACCTCTCACGCGATGGTTATGTCAAAACAAAGTTGCGAAGTCACAAAGTTACGAAGAACCATGGAAGTGCGGCTCGTTTGTAAAAAAAACTGTATACGTTGGAGGCGTATCTGTTTTGCCTGCACCCCTGGTATGATTACTATCGAATGTGGCCTGGGAATTGGATCGGTGGATTGTTTGCTCTGCTAGGTCTCTCTAGAGCAGGGGGTCTCAAACTCAATTCACTCGGGGGTTACTCGACATTTTTTTTTTGCTCCCATGGGGGCCGCTCACCAAATTTCATAAAATGTAACTATATTCGTTATGGTACTATAGACACTAATACACACACAAGAAGGCCCTATTCATATCTGTAAGATTAGGTGTGGTTAGGGATTCCTGCGTCAGGAACTTGCGTTTTCCTGCAGCAGGAATTCCTAATCTGGCATTTACAAGTGGCAGCTGTCACCCATTCAAGTTACTGATCAAGTGACAGCAGCTCCATGTAAATGCCTGCACACTGCATGTAATATAGTATGTGATATGATTTTTGTTTTTGTTTTTTGTGTACATAATTAAAAGTATAAAATACCCCACACACACACACACACACACACACACACACACACACACACACACACACACACACACACTAATAATACAGCCCCAGTCCCCCACCTTTTTGCAGGGAGGAGTGGTTGATTGGTATCTGTAATCAATGTGAGTGCATACATAGAAGCAGCTATGTGGTCTGCATCAGACAGAGATGCAGACTGTGTAGCTGCTCCTGCAAGTCTGGTACGCGGTCCATGACCGCGTACCTGACTTGTGAGTTGTCTTTGGGCCGCTACTTTGAGACCACTGCTCCTAGAGTTTACATTTTTTAACCACTTGGTGACCGGGATGTGAAACTCCTTTTTTTTGCCCAGGCCATTTTTTATTATTCAGCGCTGCGGTGCTTTGACTGGCATTTATTCCGTCATACAACGCTGTACTGCAATTAATTGTATTACATTTTTTGGGGGACACATAGAGCTTTCTTTTGGTGGTATTTAATCACTGGGGGGGGGGTTATTTTTTTTACTATGTAATGAAAAAAAAAAAAACCTTTTCCTTACGTTATGTTATAAAACATTTAGTACCTGATTTTTTTTTTTGGAAAATATAAAAGATGGGATCACGTTGGGTAAATAGACACCAAACATGTAAAGTTTTAAAATTGTGCACGTCCGTGAAATCGCAAAAACTACCATGCCTAAAATTGGCCATAGGTGATGCTTTAAAAGCTTTTTACCGCTCATCAGTTTAGTGTTATCAGTGATTAATGGCTCTAGAATTATTGCTCACACTCCAACGTTCGCGGCGGTATGTAACGTGTGGCATAATCGTTGTTTTTGCATGTAGATGCACCCGAGGCATATTTACGTTGATAAGTGCGTGCACGCATGGGTGGGTGACTTAAAACTTTTTTGGGTGTTTTTTTTTTTTTTTGCTTTTTTGCTTTTTTTTTTTAAACAGTGATCCGTCCTCCTTTCTCAAAAGATCTGGTCTGCTTTTTTCCTCCCTCTGGCAGGCTCCCTCACCTCTCGCTGGGGACGGAAACCTATTAAGATCTCCCAGGGGGAAAAAAGACGAAGAAAAGGCGGCGGAATCCTCTAAGTGCAGTAATTCAAAAAATATTTATTTCTTTATAATACATAGATGCACTTACAAGACAGACGAGTTGTTGGAGCATAAAATAAGTGGCAGAGTGTTAGCTTTGAGCGGTGAAGACAGATCCTCCTTGACGCGTTTCGTGCTTTCACTTTTTCAAAAGGGGGAATCATGTCTGCACCTCTCCCAGGGTTCTACTTATACTACTCTAATTAGCTTAATTAGTACCACCTGGTACCAATTGATCTCTCCCAGTGAGAGCTACGGCTTTATGTCACTATAACAGTCATAGCTATTCGATACAGTGAAATTTATGTTCAATTCCGTAGTGGCATCAAGAGATTAAACTACTAACATCACCAAAGGAAAGAGTGTTAGTTTCAGTAATTAGACAACATGATCCAAATAATAAAAACAATTTAAAACACATTAATTAATAGCTACAGGAGTCTAGGCTAGTATATCATGAATTACAAAGGTATTATTACTGTGAGTTGTTCCATGGATACACATATCCAGTCGGAGTAAAACACATTTAACTATTTATAACATCATAAAACAGTTTATAAAATTTAAAAAGACTACATATATCGGCTACTGGATTTAAATATCATTACGTTTCTTTGCATACAGTTCCCTCTGTGGCGGATTCAGAGTCCCATGAATCGTTCTAGCTGAATTATATTAGAGTTGCGGATCTAAGACTGATCAAATATTACATAAAAACTGCATACAACTACATAAAAAGGACCTGACTTGGGCATGGAAGATCATCCTATTTATCTGATGTGTTAAAACCAACTGTCTCAGGTGAAGCACCTGGAAGTAGAGGGTGCCTCTTCCCTTTTAATGTTGAGTCCGTGTGGATAAAAACTAGTTAAAAGATAATATCGTGTGGTCAGGGGGAGGCGTGCATAGGACAAGACTGGTGACCTCAGTCATGCTGTAAATAAATTAGCAATATTATGTTCGTGGTGTATTATACAGCAGAATTTGTGTTATTAATTTTTCCTAGATGGGTCTGATATTTTAATGGATTAATCGTTTGATAGGAAACAGTTCAGGTCTAGTTCTACGTTCAAGCCTTTTGGTGTCATCGTTTCCATCAAATAAATCCACTTAGTCTCATTTCTGGAGATATCCCTCTTCATATGGTTTCCCCTCCATTGCTTAAACACCCTATCAAGGCCTATGAACTGAATTCCTTTTGGGTTACAGTTATGTTTTTCCTTGAAATGTCTGGATAGATTATGATCTCGTTTACCCTTTTTTATGTTATTAATGTGTTCGCGTATTCTCACCCTTAATTCGCGGGTGGTTCTCCCTATATATTGTAAACCACAAGGGCATGAGTACTATGGCATGAGATTAATTCATTGATCTTAAATTGTCATCCATTTGAATTGGAGCCAAAGTTTTTTTTCTTTTTACCAGTGTGCCTACATCCCATGCATTTCCCACATGGGTAAAATCCTTTCCCTTGGAAAAATGTGGAGGGTCTTTTTGGAGGGTCCAGTACATTATGAACAAGTTTATCTTTGATGTTTGGCGCCTTTTTATATATTACCTTTGGCTTTATAGGGAGAAATTATTTCTTGGAGCGGGGGAAGTAAAAAAATAAAAAATAAAATGTGGTGTGCAATATAGTGAAATTAAAAGTGTAAAATTATACAGCAATGAATACAGAATGGCATCGGCTATAGAGGAATACAACAAATCCCAGCAATAGTACATTATAGCTGGTGGTATCCTGCATTGCGCTGTATAATGTACTATTGCTGGGTTTTGTAGTCCTCTATAGCTAGTGGTATTCTATTCTGTATAATGTATTATTGCTGGGATTTGTAGTCCTCTATACAGCGCAATACAGAATACCACCAGCTATATAGGAATACAACAAATCCCAGCAATACATTTATATATACAGTGTATAATGTATTGCTGGGATTTGTATTCCTATGTATAATATATATAGCACAATGTACCATCAGCTATAGAAGAATACAAATCCCAGCCATACATTATAGAGCACCATGTGTGGGGAAGTGCAGGCTTACCTGAGCAGTCTTCCAGCAACTTGCTTCTGAGATCGGGCCTGTCTATCGGCGGCTGTCATCCCCCTGCACCTGCTCCTCCTTACTTCTTATCTCCACGTCCCTGTGCCAATCGTGGATGTGGGCGGGCGGTGAGCGTGAGGCGGGGAGGAGGTGCGGCATGTGGATGCAGGCAGGCGGGTCTGGCAGAGGCGAGCATGAGGTGAGGAGGAGGAGCGGCACGCAGCGTGTGTGGAGCCGTGAACAGGGCCAACTAATCAGAAGCCGATTAATCGAGGATTGAAGAAGTTGACAACTTTTTCAATAATCGATTATGTTGATTAGTTGTTGCAGCCCTAGTCGCGACTCCATGTTCAGTGGGTGGATGCGTGCCTTCCACTTTTCCAGGTAAGAGGCTTTCTCAGTCTCTTCCTAGAGCAACACAGTCAGTTCTCGCACCAAGCAGCATTCAAAACATGCTGTCTGGTGCCGAGTGTCAGCTTGAGGTAGGGTGGGCTGGAGCTACGGCCTTGAGGGAGCTCCATCCATAGGTGCATTGCTTACAGCTCCCTCTTATGCCCAGTAGAGGTGCCTGGATCGGAGTGACATCACATTCTGGCTCCCGACACCTCTACAGGGTGCGAAATGGAGCAGTACAAGCAATGCACATATACAGATGAAACTCGAATAACTACAATATCGTGCAAAAGTTCATTTATTTCACTAATGCAACTTAAAAGGTGAAACTAATATATGAGATACTCATTACATGCAAAGCAAGATAGTGCAAGCCGTGATTTGTCATAATTGTGATGATTATGGCTTACAGCTCATGAAAACCCCAAATCCACAACCTCAGAAAATTAGAATATTGTGAAAAGGTGCAATATTCTAGGCTCAAAGTGTTGCACTCTAATCAGCGAATTAAGCCATAACACATGCAAAGGGTTCCTGAGCCTTTAAATGGTCTCTTAAGGTGCCCATACACTGTACGATTCTCGTACGAGAATCGCGGGAAATCCCGCGATCGTACGAGAATCATACAGTGTATGGAAGGCGTGCGACCGTTTCTACTGTACGGTCGCACGTCTTCCATCGAACAAGCAGGCTGGAAAACCCGCCGGGAATCGTGCGAATCTCGGCGATTGAGTGGC